TTTGCGGCCATATCTGCAGAAGCCCAGTCCTTCTCTACCCTGAAGTGAAGATTTTTCCACCTAAGTGGATTGATTAGTCTGCACTTATCTGTAGCAAACATCACCTTTGTGTACATACCCTCTCTTTCAATTTGTCAGAATGATTTCTGAACGCAACTCCATTTTCATATTCAGTCACTTTGGTCCCAACAGGAATGGTCCCCAAAATTCAAATATAAGATGCCTGGGAACATTTTTAACTTTGAAACTAAAATGTGGCCACTGTGCAATGGGTGTACACAAGTGAACTTGGGGGTGTGACATTAAATGGGAAGGAAGGAAGAGCCTTCTGCTTCTAGTGATGAAAGGTTTCTTCATCTATAAATTCCAAATGATCAACACTGCAGATTCATGTGTTCTTATCCAAAATGCTTTGGGCCAGATCTGGTTTGAAATCTGGAGTTTTTCAAACTTAAAAATAGCAATACCAGGCAGAGGGCACATATTAAATAATGCCTCCAGCTGGGTCTCAGGCACCACCCCATCATGGAACACAGTAATATTTCACTAGCAAAATATATGAATGTCCTAAGTAGGATAAATAGAGACTATAAATAGCTTCACGTCAGTTCAGGTCAGTTTTGCTTCCAACTGAGTTAGTTCCAAACTTAAGCAAAAAACGCTTAGTGTTCAGAGCTTTGTGAACTTTGGAATGGCAGATAAGGGATCATGCACACAGACAGGGCCCGAAGAACCAGTGCTAGCCCTCCTGACCTTTCTGCATAAAGATACTTTTAAAGCATATAGGTGTGGCTGCTTTCCTGAATATTTCTGTCAGGTTCTGTTTGGGAAGCCCTGCATAGCAGAGGTCATTCGGCTTTAGTTATTCAAACTGTTGTTTAGAAACCAAAATAAAAACCTACAAACTTAAGGCATTTCCCTTTGAAGCTGAGCACCATTATCTTTAAGAGCTAAAGTGAATTTTCACAAACCACTTGCACACACACAAAATGGTACATAGTACACAGAGAAGCCAAACACCCAGGCACTGTGCATATCAGTCTATTAAGTGCTTCTCAGACTTAATTGTCCATAAGATTCACCTTCGGATCTTGTTGAGATGCTGATTATGTCTCATTAGGTCTGGGTGGGGCAGAAATCCTACATTTCAAACAAGCTCCTGGATACAGCTCTGAGGACCAGCCTTTGAGTAGCAAGGCTGCAGCAGAAGTGCATTAAGTTTGGAAACAGACGGACCTGAGTAAGATCCTGACTCCACCACTTATAAGCTAAGTGACCCTGGGAAAATGGAAGTAACACTTTTTCAAGCCCATAATGAGTGAGCTAGCAGCACAGTTCCTGGCACATAACAGACCCCGAATTCATCCTTTGCCAATCTGTGGTTGGCTGAATAAAGGTCCCCCAAAGATGTCCACATCCCAGTCCCCCAAATCTATGAATATGTTACCTTACAAGGCAAAAGGGAATTTGCAGATGCGATAAAGTTAAGGATTTTGAGACGAAGAGATTATCCTGGGCTATCTGAACAGGCCAACAGGATCACAAGGGTGTTGATAAGAGGGAAGCAGGAGGATAGGAGTAAGAGAATATGAGAGGGTGAATCAAAGGTCAGTGAGGCGAGAAGATGCTGTGTTGCTGGCTTTGAAGACAGAGGAAGGGGCCTTGACCCAGGACATGTGTGCAGCCTCTAGAAGCTGGAACCTCCCAGAAAGGATGCAGCCCCGCACACCCATTTTATACTCTGTCCTCCAGAACTATAAGAGAATAAATGTGTTGTTTTAGACCACTAAGTCTACAGTAATTGTCTACAGCAGCCACAGGAAACTAATACACCACCTATTGAAATAATGCTAACGCAGGCTTGCCTCACTTTACATAACAGAGGGCTTCCTGGGGCATTGAATCAACTGAAACATCATGTAACAGCTGCCCCAGTGGAGGTCGGTAAACAAAGAACTCTTCAAGGAGACTTTGTATCAAGGGAAGAATTCCTCCCGCTTTATCTGTTTTGTTTGGTTATAGCCCTTGCTACCAAACAGGGACAGCCACACCAGCCCATTCCAAAGGCTAAAGGGACTCTCCTGCTCTCCAACTGTATCATCACATTCCAGCTTCTCATGTAACTGTCGAAACCTAATAAGGCTCCTGGGGACAGCATCAGTGGGTCGATGCCTCAACATCAGGAGGACTGAAGAAAGTCATCCTGGGCTCAAGAGCGAAGGATTGAAAATCAATGGTTTCAATATTTGTACAAGTCTTCATTTGCTACTTATAATGTGGTTTATCCCACAGAGACGCTTTATAAAATAAGAAAATACCAAGATAACCCAAAAGACGCCTGCAGAATGAAAACTGCATATGTTTCAAAACTAAATGGGCCTTGTCCTGCATTTCTTAGGCTTTTTCCTGCAGGCCTTGGCACCAATGGCACCCCTTAACCATCCTGGGTTTTACACTTCCCTTACCAGACTCTAAGCTCCGTGGAAGGGCTGGTCCCTCAGTTCTAACTATCGTATCCACAGCGTCTGTAACTGACACTTAGTTTGCACACAGTAAATGTTCGTAGATGAACGAATATTATGATGGATATTTATAATAGAAAAGCATATTCAGACTTTCATTAACAAAAGCATTACTTGTAAAGTTCTTTTTCTCCAATTTGAACTTAAAACTGCTTGGCCCAAGATATTATTTATGGTGGAATTAAAAGTATGCTCTCCGATTTTATCTGCCTATTAATATATGCATTTGATAATTAACAATGTGCTAAGCAGTCAAAGCAAATAATTACTTTTCTAATGTCTGCCCCCGCATATGAGCTAAATGAGGGGGAAGCCACTAATTGCATATTAAAAAATGCAATTAAATGCAAAAAAAAAAAGGTAACTAGATTCAAAATGTTTTGTTTAAACCTCAGACCACAATATTCAAAACAGTTACAATCCTTTCACTGGGTCAGTTACAATCCCACAAAACAGTCCAAATATTCAGAATTCTGTTCGGGTCACAATGAATATAAAACAAGTTCTCAAAAGTTTGCTAGTTCACATTTTCGAGGTCTTCTGACCAACTGGTAGGGTTGCTCATAAAAACTCTATCTTTTAATTTACTTATGTTCAGTACACTTTATTTAAGAAGCAGTGTAATCACATGGAATGCTTTTATTTTAAACCTTATTTTGAAATATGACTGAATACATTAACATAATTCAGAACAAGTCAGCAAACATCTACAAGAACATGTTATATAATTCTAGTGAGTCTCATAATATTCTATTTTCAAAGGAAAAAAAAAAAAAAACACTGGACAGAAAAGCAGTAAATGTGGAATCTGAGGGTTCTCCCTGCTGGCCATACTCCCTAGACTTCAAGGAGAGCCATTCTGAGCAGCCCCTTCTCCATCCTCACACGTTCACTCTGGGATTGTTCTAGATAGGTAGGTTACCAGACAAGTGAGTCCTGGAGGGGAGGAATTAATGTACCCAGGCTTCCTGCAGAGTGCCTTGGCTTCTAAAGACATTAGAAATCATAGCAGGCAGGACTCAAGAGTCTTGGTTTACACGGTAACTTTACCCAAAAACAAACACCCATAGCAACTAGAGTGTTTTCTGCAATGGTCTTTGGGTCATCTCTGTCCACTAAGCAGAGACCAAGACACAGACAAGAGCGGTCTTGGGTGCCTGCTCTGCCTCCCAGATGGGCAGGAGCGGTTTCCACTTTCTTATACTTGCTCACTGGGCTTTATCTTTGCCTGGGAGAGAAGGATATCAAAGGAAAGGGGAATAAATAAAGGAAGCGAGTTCTAAAAAGGACCTGTTATGTTCCCGTTCCTACTATCTCACTTTTCTTCAGGGGAACCATCCTGTTCTTCTGACCACTTGGCTGCAGGGGAGCTGACCCCACACCCCGGCTTCATAGGGCTATGTGAGCTGGATGGGTGCTGGTCTGTAACTCTGATTGGACCACTAAGAATAAGGCACTTTCAGGGGCTTCCCTGGTGGCGCAGTGGTTAAGAATCCGCCTGCCAATGCAGGAGACACGGGTTCGAGCCCTGGTCCGGGAAGATCCCACATGCCACGCACGGAACAACTAAGCCCGTGGGCCACAGCTACTGAGCCTACACTCTAGAGCCCGCGAGCCACTACTACTGAGCCCGTGTGCCACAACTACTGAAGCCCGCGTGCCTGGAGCCCATGCTCCGCAACAAGAGAAGCCACCACAATGAGAAGCCTGCACACCGCAATGAAGAGTAGCCCCCACTTGCCACAACTAGAGAAAGCCCGTGCACAGCAACAAAGACCCAATGCAGCCAAAAATTAATTAATTATTTTTTTTTTAAAAAAGAATAAGGCACTTTATTTCTGTTGTGGTTTCAGTAAGAAGGACATAAACCTAAAGCTCCCAGGAGCCACTACCTGGAAAGAGCCTGCATGAGAATAAATTCAACCCAGAGGAAAGCAAGGCTGAGCGAGGAAGAGACCAAGCCCTGGCAGCAACCTCTGAGCCCCTGGATCCGGCCATACCCAAAGCCCAAATCTGCCCTTGGACTTTACAGTCCCATAGGGTAACACAAACTTTAAAAAAAAATTAATCTAGTTCAAGTTAGATTGTCATTTGAAACTGAAAAAGCACTAACAAATACAGGAGAAATAAAAGCACAAGAAGAAGGGAAACGAAAGGAGAAGATTACGTTTATGGATATGGGATCTGAAAGTAGTTCAAGTTTGCCCCCTGGAAATGAAGAAAGGTGACACATAGGAAACTGTTCCATTTTTCATAGTAAGCTCAGACCATAAGAACTGTAGCTCTGCCTAATTACTGTGATTAATCTTGCCAAATTCTAAAAATAAAATGAGCGTGTATTTTCTGATGTTTGATGATACTGCAACCGTCGTGAAGAGAAAGAATGAGCCGTTACTGAATAGAGTCGTCTTTTAAGACAAATGATTTTTTTCTGGCTGTGGGGAGAAGACAAGGTCACAATGACGACCCCAGTCTTACCGGGCATGGCATGGACGAGGTCCCCGCACAGAACAAAGAACTTGGGCTTGGGGCTCAGCTTGCTGATAGCCTGGACGGCCTGCTCAGTCAGACGGATCTCCTGCTTCCACTCGTCGCCACCGCTGTCACAGTCCCCAGTGGACCAGGCCTTCATCAGTCCGAACTGTGGGTCTGCACCTTGGATGAAGTAGAACGGGCCTTTCCATTCCCTTTCCTTTTCTTTAATTAAAAAAAAAAAAAAAAAAAAAAAAGAATGAATGAAAGGAAGGAAGGAAGAAATATTATAAAATCTGTCAGGGAAAGCACCCAGGTTACCCTGCGAGTGGATACAATATTTTTCTTAAATTAAGTAGGTCATTTTCATAAGCTGCTGTTCAAACACACCATTTTCCTGTCATCAGCCAGAGGATTTTGATTTATACTAATTATGCCTGGACCTGGTGATTCCCAAAGGCCAGGGAAAAACCACATGGGCCGTTAACAGCTATGTAACCAAGCTGTCTGTTTAAAAGCCAGATGGCCAAAATGGAGCACAGAGGCACCACGGCACGCTATATAGAGGATATTAATGTTCAATAGTTTTTTAATTAGAATTAAAAATACCCCAAATTGAAAGCTGCCAGAAGTATTATGTTTAAACGACGAGGTGAAGTGCTTTCAAATCGTTTACGCCAGGCTTAATGGCACAATTTGCACTGTTTCAGGGGATGTGACAGAAAAACTTGGAGCTCAGAAGCTCCGGCTATCTGGTGGGAAAGGCGGGGCCAGAAATGAAATCTTAATATGGAAAAAAAAAATGATGCTAACATTTCCAAGGCAGCATGATGTGGGCACAGGTGAGATGTGAGGCTGCAGGGCAGGGCTGGGGGGACGAGATTCTTTAATTCTTTATGTCCCTGGAAAGCACTTAGGTCACCTGAAGGTAAACTATCAGGCTGCTCTTCCTATTGGTTCTGCCAAAGCTTCAAGGGCCACGGGTCTCCACCCTGATCTGCCCAAAAAACTGCCACCAGTGTCTGCATTTACAGAGCTGGAATGCCCATCAGTGGGTGCGTGGGTTTCAAACTTTGCTTTGGCCACAGAATCCTTTCTTCAAACAAAACCACAAGTGGCTGACCAGTGTTGAAAACACGTAGCCTCCTCTGCCTGAGTGGGTTCTGGGGACAGAGCAGTCTGAACACACCCACTCATCAGCCCAGATTTTATCCTCAGCCCAGAGGGGTGACGTGACTTGCCTCATGGACACCGACCATCAGCTGCAGGGACAAAACTACCCCACAACCTTGAGACTGTTTTCTTCTCTTTAACAAATGAACGTATTTTGCAGGTGAGCTGAATAAATGGCATTTCCTTTGGAAGTCATGAAGATACTAGAATTTCCCAAAAGCTCCTTGAAGTCATTTCACATCTTTGTGTTCACTTCACTCATTTATTCAGTATTTACCGAAAGTCTGCTGTTTGCCGGGCCCTGTGCGAGGTGCTGACGACACACAAGTGGACCAAGACAGGTGAGGTCTTGGCTCTCGGGGGCTTAGTTCTCACAGAGGGAGAGAGGGCAAACAAGGAAATTCGCAGAGAATAGAGCCGAGGGTGCTAAGGGCTCTGCGAGGATTACGGCGAAAGCAATGGTTAATTTAAATTGGATGCACAGGGAAGGCCTCTCTGAGGTGGGGTCATTTAAGCTGAGATCTAGATGTAGCACAAAAGCTTTTAAAATTCCACGACCACCCTCCCACCCACCATGCCTAGCTTACTATCATCTCAGAATGGATCTCAGGCTTTAGGCCTCCTTTCCTTAATTCCTCTTCCAGAACTTAAGAAGACAAGCACGTAAACAAACAAAATTACCTATCCGTACTTTCCAGAACAAATTATGTATGTGTGTTAACCTGCCAGTTATTGAACTACAGCTTAAAATGCTAGCTGTTCAGTCAAATCACAACCTACCTAAACTCACCCTGAACAAGGACTGCAATGGAACCCTGTTGTGTGCATCTCAGTGCCAAGGACAGCGATCCAGCACTGCAACGGATCTGACTCATACTCATTGAGCCCTTACTACATGTGGCAGAAAGACTCCAAAACGCACCCCCCAAGACCCCTGAGTCCTGATACTCACATCCTGTGTGATCCCCTCCCCTCGAGTGTGGGCTGGACTGCTTCTAATAAGCAGAATACAGTTATGGGATGTGCCTTCAGAGACTGGCTAGACCAAGATACGGAAACAACCTAAATGTTCCTCAGTGCATGAATGGATAAAGAAAAAGTGGTATATACATACAACAGATTTAAAAAAAGGACATCCTGCCATTTGGGACAAAATGGATGAACCTGGAGACGCTAAGTTACCTGCAATAAGCCAGTCGCAGAAAGACAAATACTGCCTGATCCTCAGCTTGTATGCAGAATCCAAACAGTCAAACTCATAGAAGCAGACAGTAGAACGATGGTTTCCAGGGACTGGGGGGTAGGTAGGGGAAATGGGGAGGGGAGGATCAAAGTTTCAATTATGCAAGATAAGTGCTGGAGATCTACTATACAGGATGGTGCCTATAGCTAACAATACTGTATTGGACACTTAAAATTTGCTAAGAAGGTAGATCTTAAGTGTTCCTATCACACACACACACACACACAAACAACAACAACAACAATAAAGGGGGCGGGAAGAAACTTTAGGAGGAGATGGATGTTTATGATAGATGTTGATGGTAGTGATGGTTTCACAGGTCTGTACTTATCCCCAAACTCACTGAGTTGTACACATTATATATGTACAGCATTTCATGTCATCATATCTCAATACAGTGGTTTTGAAAAAAGAGAGAGAGAAGGCTAAAAAAAAGACCCTGACTTTCACCTTGCTCACTCTCCCTCACTCTCTCCCGGAGCCCTTCTCCTTGAGGGAACAGGCTGTCATGATGAGTAGCCTCCTGCAAAGGCCAACATGGCAAGGAACTGAGGGAGAGCTCTGGCCAACAGCCTGTGAAGGACAGAGCCCCCCGCCCCCCCATGCAACAACCTGAAAGAAACCAAATCCTGCCAACAAGGATGGGAGTAAACTTGGAAGAGGATTCGCCCTAGGTGAGCTTTTGGATGAGACCACACCCCAGGTGACACCTTGACGGAACCCTCATGAGACCCTGCAGCAGAAGGACCCAGCTAGGTTGCACCCAGATTCCTGATGGCACTGGGAGATAGATAATGCACATTAGTTTTCTCAAGCTGCCAAGTTTCTGGGTAATTTGTTACACAGATCCCACTTAAAGATAAAGGGCCAGGAAGGAGTCAGCAAAACTTCTTCAAGAGCTCAAGGTTGGTGTCATGAAAAAAACTGAGATTCTGATTTGAGTTTTAAAGTTAATTGTTGGCACTGTTCATTTATTTTACTTTAATAATAACCATTTTGCACTGATGAATGCTTTTAGCTATGTTCCTGTTTCTGAGGCAGTTTGCAAAGCTGTTTAAACTGGATAAATTAATCAGGGAGATGACTGTCACCCCAAAGTTGGGGCACAAATCAATCTGCTACAACAACCGGAATTTAGAAAGTTTTCTACAGTGAACCTTTTAACAGTTATAGTTGCCTATCACAAATAGTCACAGTCTCGAAAAGTCGTCTTTGGAGGTATTAAATCTTTCATCTTTACTGGTTTACTAAGTAAAATCCTAGAAAGAATCTCAATTTTATGACGACAAGGCACAAAATAAACAGATTTGACCTAAAATGAAAGACAGCTCCATGTCACTGTTCCATCTACCTCATCTATCTAATAAAGGCAACCTGCTGACTCGGGGTTCTGCATTCTCAAAAGCACCTGGAGCCTCTTAAAGTTCCTGCTACAGAAGTTTGTGGTGTTTGGCCTCATCTTAATTTTAATCAAGGCTGAATTTAAGATATTTGAGGCTTGTAAGACTTAGTACTAGATGGAGGGATCTTTTGTAAACATATACCTCCCCTACCCCTCAGAAGGGCAGACTTTTATATTAGGAAAGCGAATTCTTAAAAAAATTTGCATTAAATTATTTCACCGAAGTCCAGAACTACCCCAAGGACAAGGCATAGGTATTAGCTGACTGACACCTACAAGGGCCTGAGAATGCTTACGTGATGCCTCCCTTCCGGGGCAGAGCAAGTGTCTGGCGCCAGCTTCTCTCTTTAGACTCAGGAAAGCACTGTTCTGGCAGCTTTAACTGTGGAAGTCTAGATATGGTAAGGACCATCCCTAAAGCAACCTGATACACAATCAGGGCATTTAAAAACCACTTAAGGGTCTGGTGGTTTATTGCTTGTTGTTTTGTTTTGTTTTTAATTTTCCTAGTCAAAGAGCCTAAAGGTGAGACAGCCTGGTAAATGACTGACAACCCAAATTAAGGAGCAGAAGTACCTGGAAATGGAGGCTGAGGGAGAAGGTGAGGATGACGAGAGAGCAGCATTATGCAGGCCGTACTTGGGCACAGGGGGCTGGGCTGGGCCTCCACATCAGTCCTCAAGGTGTGGCAACGGACCAGCAACATCACCATCACCTGCGAGCTTAGGAAGCCCGCCCCAGACCTACTGAGTCAGAATCTGCACTTTAACAAATTCCCAGGTGATTTTATGCAAATCCAAGTGTGAGACGTACTGGCATGCAACTAATCAAGGACCTGTTTAAATGTGTTTTATATCAAACAGATGTAAAGTGATTGTTTCCCTAAATTGAAACAATGTCTGGGAGGGGTTCTGCTGTTGTTAGTGGCTGTGTTTTTTGTTTCATTTTGTTTTTGTTTTGCATATTTTCCTATTCATTCTGACATCCTGCCTATGTCCAGCTCAGATATTTGGTCCTAAACATTTCTTGGTCTTATCCATTACTGTCTAATCAACTCCCTTTAAATCACCTTTCAAAATCAATTCAATTTTCTTGGTAAGAATTCCAAGATTCCAGGTAAGAGCTTACGCAGGGAATTCAATGCTAATTAGTGAGCTCTAGCACTTTAGATTTTCACATGACATCATGACGTACAGCGAAAGCACCTGCTAGCAACTGTGTGTGTGCAGCATACACAAGTGTGTGTTTTCAAAAGCACAACAGAGAGGCAATTTTCTTTTGTCCAAATTTGATACAATGCAGTCAGGGACTCTAATTGACAACTATGGTAAGACCAAGGTCAAATTTTTGAGATAAACCAAGTATTTTGAATGAATGGATTAAAGAATAAAGTGAGTTGATTAAATT